TGTATGTATGTATGTATATATATATATATATATGTATGTTTGAATGTAAAGCTTGTGTGAGCTGTGTAAATACTCAGAGCAGTTTATGGTTGGGTCCCAGCAGTGTGTTCCCGGCGTTGATCGGTTTGGCCCAGCAGGCTGTTCAGGGGTCAAYTCTCCCAGAGGCATCCTCTCCTCCCACAACCACATGAGTCCTGAGAGTGTGCGCCTCATGCACAGACACAGGTCAGTCACCAGAACAATCATCTGCCTGATCTTAACCCAGACCTGACTATAAACACATTCATCCAAGTCTTAGGAAATATTTAAATTTAAATAATATTTTATTTCTACCTAGATGAGAACTTTGACCTCATAGCAGAAAAACTGACTCCATGATGTCTCAGAATGATGTATTTAAAGGGACAGTTTAACTCTTGTGAAGTGGGTCTCTGTTGAGCAATTAATATCTTACCTGTTGTGGATAGTTCTTTGAATGGCCTCTSAAATGGAGTTTAGGTCTGACTGGASTGATTAATTTTGCATTTCACAAAYAATCCAGCACAAACATTTGCAAGATTGTTCTAGAAAGGTTGCAGCTAATTGCTGCTGCTAATYGGATTTACAAATAGCCACAGAAGTCCATATTTAAATCTTTGAACTACAAAATTTATGACCATTTAAAGGTTTGTACACTAGTGCTCTGATAAACAACCAAACCYTTTGGATGGAATAATTTAAAAGAATTCAATTTGGTTCTGACCTTACGCAGATTAACTGCTAGCTCATCAGTCCAATCAAAATCATCTAAATTTACAGAAGAAGGTCCTATTTAAACACAGCAACTCTTCCTCATGTACAATTTCAATTAAAAAAACACAAGTCAAAAACTGTTTTGCTAGGTTCTGAATGTATCATAGGAAGATATAATTACTGTATTTATTCATGTATAATACTAGAAATTTAACCCTAAAAATCATCCATAAATTGGGGGGATATTATTATACATGGGTCATTGATAATTAGATTTTTATGTTTTGTAAGATCAAAAAATGATGATCATATTATACTCAAGATTGTATTATACG